TCTCTAGGTTTCATTACAATTTGTATTCCGACCATTAGCTCAAACAGTTCTTTGTAAAGTTTATATATATGTTTTTGCAATCTGATAACAAACAAACAAAAAACTGTAATATTCAGAACAATTTGGATTTTTGCTCATCTGGGTCAAGCCGCTACACAAATTATATCTTCTATATGGATTTAATTTGTTCAGTGAGCACTTGAATTCGAATCCAATTTCTTTAGTATATGGACAATGTGGAACCCATGAAAAGAAATTTGTTATTTGTTCTTATTTTCTGTTTGACAACTTATATATATTAAAAATTAATTAAATCCAAGTTTGTCAACAAGACAACAAATGAATTTATAGTTTGTTAAAATATTAGCTTAATGGCAACGAATTTTGCACCGAATTAATATAATAAAGTCATGTATCATGTCGTACTTTAAAATATGCTTAGATTAGAACAACGATTGATTTTTTTATTGTGTAAAGTCGCTTCTAATGGAGGACCAAAACCAGCATTTCGTCTCTTATTTTAATTTGTGATCTTCACGCCTTAATAAAAATCCCGCCAAGTAGGCCCGGTTTAGAGGACATTAACATAAACACATTCTTATTAACTATTAACTTAAGTAACACGATTGTCAAAAGGAAAGTAGTTAACACTATTTTTTTTCTTGCAACTAACACCTAAATATTTAGTCACGTCGAATTAATTGATTGACAATAAAAAAAGTTGTTTCTTTAAGCTATGTTTGCTCTTGTAAAGAATGGGTTGAGATTTCTGTAAATCCTTGTTGTAATTTTTTGGAAAAGCTAGTACATGAAAGTAATTCAGATGGATAAAATCGCATAATGTATTTATTTAATAAACAACTATATAATTCGTAAAAGTTTCAAAAAAAAACTATATAATTCGTATTTAGCAACAACAAAAAAACTATAATTCGTCGATGTAAAATAATTTGTAAAATAATAAATAAATATTCTATAATCGCATAATTTAAATTTTGAACCTTTTAAGAGTCTTTGTGATAGAGACATATTATGGATTGTTTTGTATGTTGTGGTTTCCTATACTAATGGT